GCTGGCATCATGGACCGAAGGCCCAGACTACATGAAAAGGGGGAAGGGAAAAAAGCAATCTGAGCACCAGCACTTAACTCTCTCTGCTTCCTGGCTGTGGACACAGTGCGACCAGCCACCTCACACTTGCACTCTCATGCCTTCGCTTCGGGGATGAGGCTACGTCACTTCAAACTGAGAGCCAACATAAGCTCTTCCTTCCCCAAACTGTCTCTTGACAGGTATTTCATCCCAGCAAGGTGATGCAGGCCCCAAACCTCAGCTGCTGGCTTCCCCTATGATAAGTACTGGTGTGTTGTTGGTTGGTTTTGCTCTTTGCTCTTTTGGGGGCCCACCACCCAGCTCCCAAATAAATCACACACAGAGGCTTATTCTTAATTATAAATGTCTAGCCTTAGCTTGGCTTATTTCTAGCCAGCTTTTCTTAAATTACCCCGTCTACTCTTTGCCTCTGAGCTTTTATCTTTCTCTATTTCTGTATATCTTTTTTTTTTTTTTCACTTCTTACTCTGTGGCTTGCTGTGTAGCTGGGTGGCTAGCCCCTGGAGTCTTCCTCTCCTCCTTCTCTTGCTCTTTCTTCTTTTCCTCCCAGATTTCTCCTTTTATTTCTTCTCTCTGACTGGCAGCCCTGCCTATCCTTTCTCCTGCCTCACTATTGGCCGTTCAGCTCTTTATTAGACCATCAGGTGTTTTAGACAGGCACAGTAACACAGCTTCACAGAGTTAAACAAAAGCAACATAAAAGAATGCAACACATCTTTGCATCATTAAACAAACATTCCACAACATAAACAAATGTAGCATATCTTAAACTAATATTCCACAAAACTAGTGAACAGGCAAGCTGACGTTTTGTTCCCTTCTGGCCTTTCTCCTCTTCTTGTGGTCGATAGGTCTTGTTCTTGCTACTCCCAGTCAGTCATGTGACTTACAAGACTATGAGCTGATAGGCTGAGGTTAAGTCAATGCTGTTGGCCTTGGGGATTGGTTTATGTTTGTGCATAAAAACCACCTTTTAAAATCCGTCATCTTCTGGCAACATTCTTCCCTCAGAAACATCACTCTGGAGACATCTTCCAGTATGTCAACTAGACATTGTTACAGTACAAAATTTTGGTTGGAATCATAGTGAGCACAGGGGGTGTAATTCACTGAGTCGGACCTGTTTGGGAGTTAGAGAAGAAAAGAACTGATGCTGTGTAGCTCGGGCAGGACTTCCACCCAGGGAAAAGGCTGATGAAATAAAAATTGGCATATAAGGGCAAGCCTGCAGATGTTCGGGATGCATATAGTCCATACTGTTATTTTACTCATGCATTTTAAATGCTTTGACAAAAATATCTGTGTTGTACAGTAATTGGATAGTTTGCTGGACTATCAAATACTAGCAGAACTAAAGTCAGGGGAAAATGCATTACCAAGGGTTATTGTGTGATTGTCCTATCTACAGTCTCGGCTTTTAAGACGCAAACTCAAAGACTGTGGCAGAAAGACACTAGTCACCTGAAGACATCAAAGTCAGTGGACAATAGCACCTGCTGTCAGAACAGGGGTGCACAGTTTGGGCTGTCTAGAACCACACAAAACCCCAAGAGATATGCTCACACCTGTGGGGTTCAAATGAAATTATTGAATCCCATGACCTCAAGGTGTCCACTGTCAACAAGAAACCTAAGTAAATAAAATGTTCATGAACCCCTGCCTTCCCCTTTAACTGGTAAACTGTACTCAGACGGTAAGACAGGTGGGCTCAAGGCATGCTGGTAGAGCCGGGGACTTCAGGAATGGTCCTGGAGAGGCTCACTGTCCAGGAGCCACAGGGAGACACTCCTGGGTTTCTTAAATATGAGGCTTTAAGCTAGCATGCACAGACTTCTGATCTACTCGCAGCAGAGGACAAGGCTTTAACTTGGGCTTAAGTCACTCGGTACCCTGTCTACATATTGTTCCCAGCTACAATGGCTGGCAGTTTGCCAGTATTTTATATATTCCTTTGAAGAAGGGAATAGCAGTTTTGACTTCTGTTAATGGCAGAAGATGGATACAAATATTGGGAGTCCTTATAAGAGTATTAATAATAAGGTAGAAACATACCAGTAATGCAGACCCAGGGAATCTATAGATAGCCTAACACCAAAGGAAGGGTATAATATAAATGCCATATGGGGCCATCCATTTCCTACACTGAATTACAAATGTGTTTTTGAGCTTGCTGCTAGATGAGGCACAAAGACGCCATCCAGAAGGAACAAGGATATCTATATCTTCATTGAACGGAAGATTTTTCATATATGAACATTTGACAAATAATTGTCACTATAGTGGTGTTAGCAAAGTGATCTTACACGTTTGTTTCAATCGGCACCAAGCCCCTGTGATATAAGATTGATAAAGTATTAGTAAAGCAGTAGTGTTTCTACCACTCAGGGTTCGGTGAGGATATCACACACGGGGAAAAAATGAGGTAGCCAACCAAACGGTAGCAAGCTGACCCGGCTGTATTAGTTACTTTCCTGGAAATTGCTCTGACAAAATGGCCAACCAAAGCCCCTGAGGAAGGGAAGCCTCCCTCCGTCCGGGTGGCGCAGGCGTGGCAGCCTGCCTGCTGTGGAGGCTGGTCACAACGAGTCCACCGTGAGGAGGCCGAGTGGGGAGCAGAAGGCCGACCTCCACTCGGTTTCTCCTCCACATCCAGTCTAGACTCAGTCTGTGTAAAGGTGCTGCCCACCTTTAGGGAGGCCCTTCCTGCCAGGCAAATCAAGCCAGGCATTTCCTCAGAGAGGAGCTCTACAGTGATGACCAAGATCAACCACCACAGCATCAAAAGGAGCCTCTCGCCAAGGAGCTATACTCTCGTAGTTAACCTAAAACTTAACGAGGTAAGCACGGGGAACCTACCATAAGGAAACAGACACAATTACAGAAATGTGCTCTGAAATCGCCCCCAAACGGGGTACAAACGAAAGCAAAGGCAAAAATCTAACAGAGCTGCTGCGAGCCAGAAGACACACCTAACCCACGAAGTACTCACCAAACAGGCAGGGCAAGGGATTCGTCCTCCGTTTTCCTGCCCTGGACTCTGAGTCTCTCTCCACAGAGCAGCCTCAGGCCCCTTTCAAGAACAGAAACATGATGATCCAGCTTGCTCTTGCAGGATCAATCCCAACTCTCAACACCCTCTAGTGCCCTTTTATTGCCTCAAGAAGTAAAAGCTGAGCATGCTGCCTGCTGGAGGCATCCTGCGCTTTGGTGCTGCCCAGGGGCCCTCACACCTTTCCTTCCTTCTAACTGGTCTCCTGGACAGGCCTTTTCCTCAGGCAGCCCAGTCAGCATCAGTTCCCCCCTGCACCTTCGCGGTTGGAAGGCTCACAGTTGCTCTGGGTTGTGTGATGTTTTTCCCCGGGGTGCTATGAGCTCTGGAGATACAAGGACCCCATCTGCCCCCCCCCCCCCGTGAGAGTCTCTTTACTGACAAAATGAGTTGGTGATGAATGTTATACAGGTCAAGCGACAACGGTGCATACCGCTTGTATATGTTTGTTTTATTGAAAGATATTTAGAAGACAGGAGAAGCTATCATCTTGTCAAAGCAGAGAAATTCATTATGAAGTAGAATGCAAAATTCATATGAATTTTCAAGCTACACAAGAATTCTAGAATGCTCCAGGCTACACCCGTAGTTATTTCTGGAGGTACTGTGCTCGATATGGAAACACCGTACAATGATAGGTTCATCTCTCCTGAGGTCGGATAAGCAAGGTTTTAAATCTTCCTTCCACTAGATGAGACTATGTGTACGAAGAGGGACTAGAAAATTAAAAGGGTTCAAGAGGATATGACACTTAATTTTTAAATTGGGAACTCTGTCCTGAGGAGGGGGGACGACGTAGCTACCACACCGCCTAAGACACGTGGGGTTAGCGCCAGAACCCAGCCCCCCCAAGCCCCCCGGGGAGCAAGCCCAGCTTTTCATTAAGGCACAGCACCTGCCACCTGGTCCCTGATGCCAAGGGTTCCCACCCTCCTGAGATCCCAGTCATCGATCGAGCAGATCACCCGTGCCGGGCTGGAAGACTTCTTTGAAGCTCCTAGCAACCCGCCTGTAGAAGCCAAGTGGACCATTTTCCAACTCCGCCTTCCAGACGCTCGCAGGGTGGAGCGGGACCGGGCAGCGCCCCCGGTGGGCGGCCGGGCAGTCAGCCTGTTCGGCTCGAGCCCGCGCGGGCGCCCCCTAGCGGCCACGTGCGGAGTGCGGCGCCGCCTTCCAAGCCTTTTCCGCGGGCGCCGCGGGGTTTCAGACCCTGGAAGCGGGAGAGCCCTGGGTCACTAACGGGAGGACACGCGCAGCCGTCCACGCGGCTGCTCGGCTCCGTGTCCTAAACGTGGCCGGACCCCACACGCAGAGATCGGGCTCGGGATGCGCGTTAGGGACCCGGGGCGGGGGACGATGGAGGTCCCCGTGGGTCCCCGCGGGAGGCAGCCACGTAGTCCACTCCAGGATCCCGGCCACGAGAGGGAGGGACTCGCAGGCGCGGCCACGGCGAGGGACGCGGACACTTTGCACGCCCGCGCGCGGCGGGAGCAAAACTCCTGCGCCGCCGCCGCCGCCGCGTCGGCAGCCGCAGATTCGGCACAGCACCCGGAAGGGCACTGACTGGCTCAGGGACGGGAGAAGGTGGACACCGCCGGCAAAGGCTCAGAAGAATAGGCAGCGCGTCTGAGAATGCGGACCTGGCTAGATGCCCGAGCATCTTCAGATCGTAGGCCCAGAAGACGCTCGAGTCGTCCCACTGGAACACACACTTCTGTTTGTTCCCCAGCTCGCTGCTTAGAAGAGTATATAAAGTCACATCAAATAGAGACCTGGAGTTAATAAGCAAGGCACAGTGGTGCACAGCTATAATCCCAGCACTTGGAAGCTGAGGCAAGAGGATCTAGACCAGCGTAAGATACATAGTGAGCGCCCCGCCCCCACACCCTACCC